TTCCAAGGCCTTCCTTAGCCCTTGCTAACTTCGCCCTCCCAGCGACCCCCCAATTGGCCCTGTCACTACTCTGCAGTGTTAAATGGCTCCCAGGGACGGCATGGAACACGAATGTCCCCCGCCTGGGAAGAGCTGCCTGCCCTCAGAGGCAGAGCACCACCCCTCCCCCACCCCGGGTCACAGACTGTGACAAAGTCTTATTGCCTGTCTCTGGGAATTCATTTTCTGTCTCTGCGCTGTTCCACCTCTCTGGGGCTCCCCGCCCCTCCCGGCCCCTCAGCGCTGTGCCCCTCTGTTTGCCAGGCAGCTAGCTGCCTTCATTATTTTTACGCCAACACAGTTTAAAAGTCTCCGCTGCCTCCTTGCTGTCTGTGGAGAGGCGGCTGCCACATTACTCTGACATGCTGATGTCATTAGTGTCCACGCAGACCCTCTCCAGCTAATGAGGCGGCAGAGAGAAAATTAAGGGGAGAAATCACAGAGGCACGTTGCTTTACATGTAGATGGAGAAATAAAACAAGGACAAGAAAACAGAGGCGCTCCTATGGTGGCTCGTCCCTCCCCGGGAGCCCGAGCACGCGGCTGTGAAGACAGGAAATGGGGCCCTGGGTTTTGACTACTGCTATCCCAGGTTCTCCCCTAAAATCCTGTGAAACTGGGGTAAATAGGTGAAGTCACTTTATCTGATTCTGTAACTAGGTCAAGAAGAAAACGTCAACATTTAAGGCCCCTATTTTGGCATTGTCAACATCCAGGTGAGGCAAGACAGGGCTTTCCAGATATTTCTAGAATCTGTCATTACCCGCACCAACCTCCACCCCGTGTTGTTCAAGCCAAGTGCACCCCTCAACTGGATTTCCACAATGGCCAGTGGTTTCCCTCTGCCTTCTACTCCAGCATGTTCTCTACAGGACTGCAGAGAAATCATTTTAAAACATGAGTTGGATTATGGCACTTCCTCCGCTTAAAAACGATGGAGTAGATTCCCACAGTTTTTGACTTTTGCTTTTGGTACTTGGATTGAACCCAGCGATGCTCTACCACTGGGCTACATCATCCGCCCTTTTTGTTTTTATTTTGGGGCAGGGTCCTGCTGAATTGTTGAGGCTGGCGTCAAACTTGCAATCCCCAGCCTCTCTTGGGGCTGGGCTCACAGGTGTGCACTACTGCAGAATCTCACACTGTACGGCAAGGCCTCCGCCTGGCTGTCCAGACTCAGTTCTCGGTCCCTGCTGTTCCTTCCGTCTGGAACAAGTCCCTTCCGGAGGCCTCACATAGCTGGGTCTCCAGGCTCCTCTGGGAGTACTCATCATGTGCTCGGTGTAGCCTCTGATCCCCCACCAGACCAGCCCCCATCTGCTCTTGGCTTTGTGGCAACTGTCACCACAGAGATTTCACATTGGCACGTGTGGTTGTTCAGCTCACAAGACAGGCAACTCCATGAGGGCCGGGAACACATGTGGTCTCTCTAATTCCAGCCCAGAAGTTCTCAAGACATGCCTACTGAATGCATAACTCAGTGTGCAAAGGATGCCCTCAGGAGGCGAAGTGGGTACTTTGCGGCCTGGGGAACCTTCACCGTGGCATTGTCCTGCACTTCCCTGACTCCTGGTCATGTCCCAGGAGGAACTGTTTACGACCCTCTGCAGGTGCATTTCTGCTGCTCAGGGTGACCTCTGCTCCACGGGTCACAGAAGTGGCTTTGGGAAGCAGTACAACATAGGGGTCAGGGCTGGAGGGGCTAGAATGCTTGGTCACACACATGGTGAACGCAAATGACAAGTTCTGTGGAGGTGGTTGGGTGATACTGGGGAACAAATGAGATTGGCCACTTAATCCAAGCACTGATTCCAGGTGGCTGCCAACTGAGAACCAGGGAGGGGGAGGAGGCAGGGGAGGGCAGTGATTCTAGGTGAAGGGACTTGGTAGGGTTCTGGTGTTCCACCCCACAGCTCCGCGACTATGGGTCTACCATGTCAGTTTTGGAGGGGGCTGGACTTAAGGGCACCCCTCCCTTTGTGGCTCCAAAATCGTGTTCTGAGATTGAACCAAAAATGTGCTCTTCAAAGAGGTGGGAGGTGCCAGGGAGAAGGCTGGCTTCTGAACGCGCCTTCCAGGTAGGAAGGAGCAGGAGAGAAACTCGAGCCTTTTCCTTTATCCAGATCAAGCATCCAGTCCACACGGTGGGCCTATGGCAGGTGCCAACACTTTCAGGCCCATCTCTGCCTCCTGCCGGCATTTGCCAGGCCTGACCCTAACCTGGTGTGACACCTTGCAGAGCCCACATGGCGCTGCAGCTGGCCACCTGCGCCTGCTTCTGGTGTGAACTGCAGCTCAGAGGGGAAGAGAGGCCTGGAAGCCTGGATACCCTTTGATTCTCCACGGAGCACTGAGCCAGGCTCCGGTAGATCCTTGTGTCCGCCTGCTGCCGAGGAGGTGGGTCCTTGTCTTGGTGTGGGGGAATGGTGATTTATGTCCCAAGCTCGCTGTGAAGCTTTGTGCCTCAGTCATTCTGAGCTCCATGGGTGTCTCTTTACATCTATTTAAAGTACGGCTGCTGCCCACTGGCTGCATGCTCTGTGACATTCCCAGTGGCCCTGTGCTTGCCTCGCCGTGGCGCCTGAGTCTTCTCTGATGAGCGTCTTTGTGGCCTGTGTGAGTGTTTGTGGGCACTAGCCAAGGCTGCCGAGCCCTCTTGGGCCTGTCCCTTTGATGTTGTGCGTGATTAGACGCCTTCCCCAGTGGGACACTCTTGGGGAGCCTGGGGGAGGAAGATGCCGCCTCCAGATCACAGCATATTGTCTGGTTGTCCTGGGGCAAGGTTAGAATGTCACAGGCACTTCTACCTTTGCTTGGAGGATTCTCAGTGTGGTACATGTGTCCCCATCCACCAGCTGCTCCTGGCCAGGTGTGGGGGCACCCCCTGGAAGTGTGAGGATTGTCCAGAGATTAAAGGCGGCTGCATACCCTATAGTTGCTGGAACCTTTTGCATTCATTCAACATCACTGATCAAAGGGCTGCATTGTCTGCACCACCTGAGCACAGGGTAGGCAGTAGTGGGCAACGCTTGGGTGAAACTTCAAGATATTGAAGATTTCTCAAAATAAAAATCCAAATCTTCCCACTTTGGGGTGGAATTGACTGGATAGATATTGTTAGACCAGGGGCCAAGCACCTCTCACTGCCTAGTAAACCTGGACTCATCCCAGCCTGCCCGGGCAGAGGTAGCTGGACCACTGACTATATACCAGTCATGTGTGGCTGACATAGTTTTGGGGATCCAGAACAGATTCTTGAAGATGGGCCAGAGGCTTTGTCCTTCATCTCTAGGTCAAGGCAGGGTATTTCCTGTAGCTTGGAGACAGAGTTCAGGCACTAGAGGTCTCCAGAGGGGATGGCTGTGAGTCTGCCCTCAAAACTTGAAAACCTGGGCAAAGATCATGTGCACTAAAATGACATCAAGGCTAATGAAGGATTATTCCTGGTTGCTACTGGCACATATTGACTCCTAATTTTTTCTTTAAAAATGGCTGCATGTATTTTCCACTTGAGGCTCATCCTGTAAGGTTTCTCCTTTCATTCTGTATGCAGTGTCATACAAGGAGTGTTGAAGTGCACGTCATGGTTTAATGCAGATGCAATGTGAGTGGCAGGGCAGCGGTGAGTTTTGCTTCTATAACACAGATTGATGAACTAAGCCTGCTAGTAATGGGAAAGGTTAAGGGCTAAATTATGAACACAAAGATTATGAACACAAAGGGCATGCTGGCGTTTCCTCCCTTTAAGAGTCTACCATGTTGAAATGCTTTGGAGGAGCACCTTAGGGAGATAGTGACAGAAAAGGGCCATCATATTGGTCACATAAAGGGACATCATGTTGGTCTCAGTGGATTTCCCACTTTTTACCTTTCCTTTTGTAGACATACTCTCTACCCTGAATGCATCTGTAATGCAGAGTTAGCATTGGCAGAAATATGTGAACTGCACAGTTTCAGATACTGTTCTTTTGGGTAACAACCTTCCTGATATCTATTAAAAACATGCCAGACCAAAAAATGTCATTTGCCTATGACTTTGCGTCTTGGGTAATGAGATCAATTTTATGTCAAATACACAAAAATTTTACATCCAATGAAGTGATTTCCTTCAATGAAGTCTTTGGGAAGGGCAATTTCCTACTCCAAACAACATTTTGGAAACTTCTTTTGGAAACACTTCCTGCCTTTTGGGTATTTTCTCTGATGAGAAATCTTTATTCTTCATCATTATTATTTCAGGGCAGATCTGACAGGTGGATCGGATGTCAAGTTTACAAAGGTAAGAACCTGGGAAATGGAGTTGAGGTCTCAACACAGCTGTGACCCAGAAGGAGGCACTTCACGTATGGAAACTCAGGTAGACGGATGTTTGGACAACATCATCCCTACGGAGAATTTCACATCAGTGCTACGAGACTAAAGGAGAGGAATCTGCGAGGGTGTTAAGTGCTATCATTAACAAGGCAGAGGACGAGGCTGGGTAATTTCGTTTTAGATCAAACACCAGATGCAAACAGAGACTATTTTTTCATCTTTCTGAAAATAACACCAGAAGACGAACCGCCAACGTGTTTTGAGTCGTGATAACGTCATTGAAATAAACGCCAGAGGTCCCCACGTTACTCCTTTGAAAGGGTATGTTCTGATATGCTACTTACAGCCCAACCTCTTAATTTCCTTGTGACTCTGACCCCTAGGAAGTTTCTAGGCCTTTGATTCTCAAAAAGTGGGGTTCTAAGATCAGCAGCCTCGGCCTCACTTGGGAGCTTGTTAGAAACGCAGAGCTTCCATCCCAGAATCGCCCCGGGGGGCCTGGGCCTGTCAAAGTTTGAAAGCGCTGCATGCAAAGCCAGCTCCCAAGTCCAGCCTCTGCGTGGCAAAGCTCCCTGGGGATGCTCTTCCGCCATCGGCCACGGATGGCCATCCGTGGCGCATGCCAGCCCAGCTGGGGCTCGCCTTACCTTGGGAAAGGCGTCGGGCCACACGGTGGGGGAGCCGTGGTTGAGCAGCGTCTGCACCGTGAGCTGCGGCGCGGCCTGGGGCGCGCAGGCGGCGGTCTGCAGCACGCGGGCCAGCGGCGAGGCTCCGCCGTAGTCCAGCGCGCCCGCGTCCGCGCCGTACCGCAGCAGGAGGCGCGCCAGGCTGTGGCGCGCGTGGCCGCAGGCCTTGTGCAGCGGGCTGCGTTCGTCCTCGTCGCGCGCGTCTGCCGCCGCGCCGCGCTGCAGTAGCAGCGCGCACAGGCGCAGGCAGCGCGCGTGCTCGTCGGGCTTCCGCGCCGCCCCGCAGGCCAAACTCAGGGCTGTCTCGCCGCGGCGGTTCCTCGCGTCCACGCGCGCCCCGTGGCCTAGGTAGAGGTGTGCGTGCTCGTCCAGGCCGTGCTGCGCTGCCACGTGCAGCGGCGTGTCCCGGCCCGCGCCGCCCGGGAGCTGCACCGAGGCACCATGCTCCAGCAGCGCCTGCGCGCACCTGCGGGGAGGCCAAGGCTGTCACCAGGGGAAAGACACACACCCCCGCAGCCCCCAATCTACTGCCTGTAGGCTGGAGTTTACGCCGCGGTTTAGCCCACTTAAATACCAAGAGTGAGCCTGAGAAAAACCATGAATTTGGGTCTCCAGTGCAAAGGGTACAGGAATTCAAACTATCTGGAAACAAAACAAAACAACAACAAAAAACAAAACGGGAATAGCCTGGGACCTTTCATAAAAAGTCAGAGTTAAAACTTGGTGCTACTTTGGGAAAGTAATGTGGACAAATGACAGTTCTCCATGCACTGGTCACCTGCGTTCCTTGTTACACCTGGAGAGTGAAACCCACGAGAGCCCTCCTTGTTCCCATGGATAATTTATCTATCCCTCAACAGCACCGACTCAGTGCAACACGGCCATGTCCTCAACCCAGCGCTGGAAGGTCAGGTGGAAACAGAACCATGTCCAGCTGTGGGGCGACCTTTATCCCAAACAGACTCTCTTGGATGGGACTGTGAATTTGGGCTGTAGCCCAGTAACCCAAACAGTCTTCTGAGGTCTCCAGGTCCCCATGTGAGGCTGCTGTCTCCCCCAGAGGTGGGTGTCTTTTGCTGGTTCCTAAACTGTATCTGAGCGGAGTTGCCAAGGCCTCTCCGGGAAGAGTGGCTGCCCCTAGAAGCACTCCTGACACCTCGACTGCCATTCCAATGGTGGCTGTTTCCAGACAGGCCCATGCTGGACCTCATGACCTAGTACCTGGTGGAAGACTCAGTCTGCTCTGTCTGAGGGTGGGCACCTAATGAGCCTTGAGTCCTTGACCTCTGCCTCTCAGCCCTTCCTGGCTTTCCTTGATCCCCGGGCAGCACTGGGGTCACCGGTTTCCCTTTCTTAATCTTCAGTTCCCTTGAATTGCAATGGTTTCCATGCCCTGCATCAGATGGCCACCCCTTTAACCCGGAGTTCATTCCTCTCGCTCTCCTGGCGGCTGAGCCCGCTGGGAAAGCACTGCCTGAGGGGACTGGCCTTGGTCTCAGCGGCCTCAGGGCTCCGGCTACTTACTGTTTTTCAGTGCTGGAGGCTGAGTCCTCGTTCCTCAGCTTTCTAGGGTGCTGAGCCCTGTGACTCTGCCCCATCCTTCTCTTCAGTACTGTACCTGCTCCATTCAGAGTGCACTCCAGGAACCCCCCACCTGCCTGCCTCCTGCACAGGAGTCTGTTCCAACAGGTATTGTAAGCTGTTTCTACCACTGCTGTGCTGTCTTCCCGGGTTCGAGGAGGGAGGCCTCCTGCGCCCTGCCTCCCTGGGCTCCTCTTCAGCATGCCCAGGGTCTTGCTCTGCAGCTTACTTGCTCTCTGTCTTTCTTCTGTCCTGTCCCTCCCTCACTCCCCTCTGCATTGGTGCCTCAGCCAGTTGGTGCCATCTCTTTAATAATCACCTGAATGGCTTCCTCCCTCCATTGACTGTCACTGTCGTTTGAGAGGCCAAATCACTTCTTGCTGGAATGTTCACAGGTCTCCTAGTTTGTCCCTTGCTCCAATCTGGGAAGCTCCGTGCCATCCAGAAAGAGGCTTGCCAATGTGAATCAGAAGAGCCACACCTGCTTAAAACTGGTGGCAAAGCCCTGCTCCTTTCTCAGGACACCAGCTGCCCGGGATCCAGCTCCCGTGGACCTCACCAGCTTCACCTTGGGAGGCTCCACCCAGCTGCATTTCAGTCCTTCCTCACCAGGGGTGGTCCCTAGAACCCCTAGCCATTTCGTTCTCCCTTTGCATGTTCTCCCTTCCTCCTAAGCCCCTGGCACTACAATGGCCCCCACATTCCTATCCTTCCTTCCTCTCAAAAGTCTCCCCAGAGCCACCAGGCAGAGGGCTACAGCTCTGTGTTGTCCTGCATCTAGCCTGCAGGTGCCCAGGCATGACTTGTCACACCATGTTTCCAACATTTGCTGGCACCTTTGTCTCCTCTCTTAGATTGTTGGCTCCTCGAATGTGGACATGGGGGCTCTTTGATGTCTCTGTCTCGGTGTCTCCTGAGGCACCTGGCCTAAAAGTGCTGGTGTTCCCTGAAAGCACATTGAACAGGCGCTTTTCATGAATCAACACTTTGCAGCCTTGTTTCTGTTGTTTTTCTGTCATTTATCTACCTGGACTCTGAACCAGATCACCCGTTGAAGGTTCAGAGCAGACAGTGGCTGCCTCTCAATCTCTTTATATTTCCTCTTAGGAACTCTCAGTATTTTAAATTCTACCTTTGTGTTTGTTTAGCCTCAGCATCAGCAGTATCTTGAGAAGTGGTCTGTTTGGGCAAAAGATTTTTGACAAACAGTACAATGTGATGTGAAATGTCCCTTGGCACGGTAACCAGCTAGGAGAACATGCAAATTTTATAATCAGAGAGCCCAGCGTCTTCCTGCTTGACTCTGGGAGAAATGCTGAACCATGCCGCAGGAGGTTAGGAATCAAGGGTTCTGTTTTTTTTTTTTTTTTTTGCCTCTGAAACTAGCAAACAATTACAAACCATTTTCTTCTACATTATTTTTTAAAGCACCTCAGCCTCCAAAGATGTCCCCCAGGAAACAGGTGTCTGCAGCCCAGACACCTGTCAGAAGAACCAGGACACTGGCCCGCATTTCAGAGGGTGGAAGATGCTCTTTTCTGTCTTAATGAGGAGCTTCCAGGTAGCTCGACCTTGGCCTTTCTGACCGTGGGCAGTGGTTAGCACTGCAGAATCGCAGGTACGAAGCCACACAACAGCACAGATTGGCAGAGGGCGCGTCTCTGTTGGCACACTGTGGGCAGTTAATAAAAACGAAGCTCGCAGGCCGGGGCTGTGGCTCAGTGGCAGAGCGCTTGCCGAGCATGCGTGAGGCACTGGGTTCCATCCCTGGCACCACATAAAAATGAATAAATAAAATGAAGGTATTGTGTTCATTTACAACTAAAAAAATATTTTAAAAAATGAAGCTCAAGGGGGCTGTGACTGTGGCTCAGTTGTAGGGCTCTTGTCTTGCACATGTGAGCCACTGGGGTTGGATTCTTGGCACCACATAAAAAGAAATAAAATAAATATAGTAAAGATAACGTGTCCATCCTCTTAAAAAAATCTTAAAAAAAAATGAAGCTTGAAAGCCCGAGTGATGGTGTGGAGGGGGCTGTGTCCTGGACGTGTGGATAGTCCAATACCAAGCAGCACTGTGCCATCCCATGTAGAAAAGCTGCCCATGTCTATGTGTGTGGAAGGAAAGACCAGACAAGGCAGGGCAGCGTGCGTTGTCTCTGGATGACTGGGTGACGGGGGCTTTGATTTCCTTTTCACCTGCCTGTATTTTCAAATTTTCCAACATAAGTCAGAGTAACAGGTTGATATGGCCACAGCTGGCATTATTAATCACAAGCCACCCTCAGCAGCTCCAGCAGCAGCTCGCAGATTCAAATAATGTCAGCCCTGCTTTCCAGTTTCCCAGACACTCTCGACTTGTCCACTGATCTGTTCAGGCATAAGCTGCAGCCCCAGAATGTGGGTAGGCATGGCCACGCCTCCGGAAGGTGAGTAGAACCGGCTGGGCGGTCACAACTCACTCCACGATCAGCAGAAAAGTGGCTAAAGTCTCAGGGACCTCTCAGACCTGACTCTGGCACTCAGGCCCCCCCCTCGAACACTGGTCCTCATTTCAGTGCTGTGTATGTGTCCCCAGTTGAAGAAATGGCCTAGATGGGAGCACAACTCCCAGATTTGTGTGGGGAGCCCATGAGGGCTGAGCCTTTTACTCAGAGCTGGGACTTGCGACAGGTTTCCTGGTATCCTGATGGACGGGCAGAAGCCAGGAAGGGCCCTGGATCAGCGCGGAACAGTGAGTGTGGGGAGCAGGGGGTGCACTCCCATCTGGAGCATGAGAGGCACTTTCTCTCACTGGGATGGAGGAGACTCCATGGCATCTCCACAGCCTCTTGTAAGAAGGTGCTTGGACCGACACACTCACCCCCTCCATTCCTCATTCCTGTCATGGATAAGGACTGTGCTGACAGCTGTTACAGGGCCCAAGGTTGACAGCACAAAGAAAGAGTAGCTTGACCCAGAGGCAGGAGTGAACGGAGAGGGGCCATCAAGGGCTGTTGAATCCATGTCACTTTAATTCATGCTAAGGAGGAAGTGATCTTGGAGTCCACTCTCTCCCAACTCAGCTCCTGTCCACCAGGCAGCAGCCTGCCAAGCCACAGCTTTTCCTGGTCACCTCCTCTGGCGGAAGGTCCTGCCCAGCCTGGGCTTTCTTGTCTTGGCCTCTTCCTCTGCCCCCCTGCTCTGTCAGCCAGGCCCCCCGCCCGTCGGCCTTAGGATTTCCTTTTCCCACCTTTTCTCTGTCCCATCTTCTCTGCCTTCCAATCACTTCACACAGTCCCCCAAATGGTACTCCCCTGCCTCCTAGTTATAGCTGGAAAGGCTATGGGTTCCCCAGTACTTGGTCTTTTTTTTTTTTTTTAAGCAAATGTGACCTTTAGTCCTTGTAACTCTTCAGGATTCTGGTGGAATTTACAGGTAGGGAAATCAAGGCTTAAAAAAAAATCAGTGGCTTGCATGAGACCTTGCAGCCAGGACATAGCCCAGGTGGCCTGCTGGTCTGGCTCCAAGTGCTCAGTTACATGGTCCACCTCACTGCTGACTCCTGGTACAGTCATGACCGCCGGGCTGTGTTTGGTCAGTTTCCGTGAGCATACATGATGGTGGTCGCCTAAGCTTTTATAACGGAGCTGAAAAATTCCTAACTCCTAGGATTTTTGCTAGACCCTTTCTAGGTTTAGATGTTTGTTCACACAGACATTATTGCCCTCAGTATCCAGTAAGTTGACATGCTCTCCTGATTTGTAGCCTGGGAGCAATAGGCTCCAGCATCCAGGTGTGCAGGGGTCATGCTGTCTAGGCTTGTGTGGTTGTGATGTTACAGTGTGAAGCTGCCTAGGGATGGAGGGGTCTAGTGACGAGTTTGTCAGGAGGATGGGGCCAGTA